CCTTTTAATGTCACAGGAGGGGAGGGAGGGGCAGCAGCTGGGTGGGGCATGCTTCACACTTGAGGGGGCGGAGCCCCCAAATGCCCCACTGTAGCTACGGGCCTCCCTGTCCAGTGCTGTCAGCCAGCACTGCTAAGGAGTAACTCAGCTCAGCCCCAGGTAAGATCGCGAAGGTGGGCCTTGGCTCACCGTTGCATCCTCAGGGAGGGGAGAAAGATTGCGGCGGCTGCAGAAGGACCGACCCAAGCCAAGCGACTCCGGCATCCGTATTGGGACCTCTGGGATTTAGCTCTGGCTTTCCTGGTAAGTTAAAATAGCCAGCCGGCCCTTGTTTGTGAATCCCACCAATCTGCTTTACAGGGCTGTGAGGACCGATTGCAATGAAAACGGTTAAGTATTCTCATAACTGGCACGGGTGGCTTCGCCCCTTGGTGCACAAAGCTGGACGCCTCCCGCCCTGCGCTCGCAGAGATCTTCCCATGCGGGATTTTCACCCTCTCCGAGGCGAGCCGGACACGCGGGCGAGTCCGACTTACTGGTGTCGGTGGTCTCGTACTGGCTGTCCCGCTGCAGTTCGAAGATCTCGACCTCCACGCGGGCTTTGGCGGGCACCTCGATGATGCTGTTGATGTGTTCGCGTGCCAAGGCTAATGCCAGTCGCTCCCCCCGGCCGCACACCGTCTGGTCGTCCAAGATTGCGGCTAGGCAGGCACAGGAACGGGAGGGGAAGGAGAGAAGCAAAAGTCATCTATTAGTGGAAGAAAATCGTCCTTTGCAAACCCCGCTATTCCTTGATGGGTGATGGACCAGGGCTCTTTTTGTAGAAAAAGCCCAGCAGGAGCTCATTGGCATAATAGGCCACACCCAACAGCAGAAACTCATTAGCCTACTAGGCCACACCCTGACAGCACTGCTCATTAGCACATTAGGCCACACCCCCATGTTACCAGAAGTGTGCTCATCCAGCCACACCCACCTTTCCCTTCTTATTCTGTTTACCTTGTTTGTTGTCAAAACCCAGGGCTTTTTTTGTAGCAGGAACTCCTTTGCGTGTTAGGCCACACACCCCTAATGTAGCCAATCCTAATGAGTTTCTGCTGTTGGGTGTGGCGTATTATGCTAATGAGCTCCTGCTAGGTGTGGCCAACTCGGGAGCCAGCCGGAACTTCGTTCCTATGCGTTCCTGTCCAAAAACAGCCCTGGCGATTCTTTCCCATCTGCTGGCAAGGCGCCAAGTGGTTTTACTTGCCCACCTCCACAGGCACTGCTCCTGAGTGACCCTACTTCCTGCCCTGGTACTAAGATCACACGGAGAGGCCCTCCTGACTGTCCCACAGATCAAAGAAGCTTGCCCGGTGAGCACACGAGACAGGGCCTTTTCGGTGGCAGCCCCGTGATTGTGGAACAACCTCCCCAGGGAAGCACGCCCAGGCCCCTCACTGTTGATCTTAAGGATGTACTTGAAGATAGCTTTATTTAGGACTGACTTGGTTTTTATTTTATTGCCACCAGGGGTCATTTCATAGAAAAAGAGCTAGGGGAACTCATTAGCATAACTCATTAGCATATGCCACACCCCCTGACATCAACGGAAGTGTGTCATAAGGCCACACACCCCGCCCACAATGGTCCCGGCCGCCAGCGGCGGCCTTGCAGCTCCACTGCCAAGCCCCATGAGGGGCCCGGCGGTGGACCTGCAAGGCCGGCGGGAGTGCAAGGAAGGCCCACGAAGGCCCTCCCTGGCCCCAGTCAGGCAGGGGTGGGGAGAGGCAGGGAGGAAGCAACTTACCCTTCCTCTTCTCCTGCCTCCTCCTGGCTGAATGAGGGCTGGAAGCGGGGCGGCCGGAAGCAGGGGGCGGGGCTTCATCATGTGCCCCGCCCCCCTGTACCTCACCCGGGGGAACTGCGATCCCCCGCGATCTCCCCAAAATGACCTCTGATTGCCACTCCTAATTAGAGTTTCTAAATCGTGACCCTTTATGTCCTATTCGGGGAGGGCGGTCTAGAAATCTAAAGAAACAAACATTGTCCTACAAGATAATGACTCAGCCCTACCCCACCTTCCGGAATAGTTATAAATTACCTGCCTACCATTTTGTTTCTCACCTTGACACAGAGAGCACTCCGTCTTTCTGTGTTATACCTCTGAGGATGCCAGCCACAGCTGCTGGCAAAACATCAGGTCCTACAATGCCAAGACCACGGCCAGACAACCTGGAAAATCTACAGCAACTAATGTATTTTTATCAGTTTTTTTATATTATTTTCATTTTGTTTATTTAATGATCGTTTTATTTATATTGTAAGCCACCTTGAGTTCTGCAAGGGAGAGAGGGGGCTAATGAGTGTTTAAAGGACTGTTCTCTCCCCCCCCCCAAGAAAAAAGCCGGCGTGGTGTAGTGGTTAAAGTGTCGGACCCGGGTTCGAATCTCCACTCTTCCCCCGAAGCTTGCTGGGTGACCTTCAGCCAGTCACCCACTCTCGGCCTGACCTACTGGCCTGACCTACCTTTCCACTCTGCCCCGGAAGCTTGCTGGGTGACCTTCAGCCAGTCACCCACTCTCAGCCTGACCTACCTCACCGGGTTATTGTGAGGATACAATGGAAGAGAGGAGAATGATGTAAGTAACTTTGGGTCCTCATTGGGGAGAAAAGCAGGGCCTAAATGATGTAAATAAGCAGATAAAACGATTTGACTCTAATCTTTCAGCTGCCCCTGACGCGATTCTTGCAAGCTGCCCAATCCTTTCTTTCTTTTTTTTGGAAAAACAGTTTTCTTTTTATAAAAGACCAACAAAAAACAAAAACAAACATACATACATACATATATGTTGGGGTTTCCATTTACCACCTTATTTTATCTGTTAAGTTTTATAGATGGTATATCACTCCAGAAAAATTAGCAACATTTTATCCTGATCTACGAAATGATTGTTGGAAAGGTAAAAAAAAAAGTCAGTTCTTTCTTTCACATGTGGTGGGCGTGTGATTAAAGAGTTAGAAAATATTGGTCCTGGATTAATGGATTGTTACCAAAAAATGTTAAAATGTACTATACCTTATATACCAGAATTGTTTTTATTGAATATATTACCAGAAAATTGTAAAAAGCAAGATTCTTATCTTGTTATACATGTAGTGACAGCTGCAAGAATATTCTATGCCAAACATTGGAGGAAGATTAAAGTACCTTCAAAAGAAGAAATCTTAAATAAAATGCTTGAAACTGCAGAGATGGACAAATTAACTTTAATGTTGAGAGGGCAAAATGAACAAAAATCTGAGGATACATGGTCAAGGTTTTATAAGAAGAAGAAGAAGAAGAAGAAGAGATTGGATTTATACCCCGCCCTTCACTTGGAGTCTCAGAGCGGCTTACAAACTCCTTTCCCTTCCCCTCCTCACAACAGACACCCTGTGAGGTAGGTGGGGCTGAGAGAACTCTGACACAAACTGCTCTTTTTCAAGGACAGCTGTGCCAGAGCTTGTGACTGACCCAAGGTCACATCAGCAGGTGCAAGTGGAGGAGTGGGGAATCAAACCCGGTTCTCCCAGATTAGAGTCCGCACACTTAACCACTACACCAAACTGGCTCTCTTCCCCCCCCCAAGAAAAAAGCCGGTGTGGTGTAGTGGTTAAAGTGTCGGACCCAGGTTCGAATCTCCACTCTGCCCCAGAAGCTTGCTGGGTGACTGGATGGAAGAATACAATAAATAAACCATATGGACTTACGACCGAATCAGAATGAAATATGAACTATATTTTTTGTTATGAGCAAAGCTCTATTCAAATTTACATGGTGGGGAAAAATAAAGAAGCAATATATATAATTAACTCCCCGAACCTTTCCATATGACCCAGCTTTGCTTTCATCCGTAACCACGACTAACAGCCACCGTTGGAACCTATCGTGGCATCCATTGAGCTGAAAAACGCAGAGCTACCCAAATCCTTTCTAGGAAGTACGCCGTGCCAGGAAACGCTACTTTATTCCGAAACATTCCTGTCCTGCGGAATCAAAATCACAAGCTCCGTAGGGAGTTTTGACAGCGGGTTATGCGTTTTGCCAGAACTCCTGCAATGATGGAGGACAGGTCTATCAACAGCTATTAGACCGGATCACTAAAAGAAGTCTCCTTGCTAACGGGAAGCAGAGACGCCGGAGACACTGTCCATGCGCCTTTCCCAGAAAGCCCCCCCCACCCCGAGGTATCTTGCAAGGAGACTCAAGCACGCACCATTGAAAGCTCACTAAAAAAGAACAGAGTTTAAAACTGGCACCCGGTTACATCTCCTTATAGGACCTGCAGCCATCATTGATAATGGGAATTCCATGAGGTTCCTTATGGCAGTCGCTGTGGTGATCATCTCCCTGTCCTTGGGTTGACAGCCTTCATGTGGTTGCAGCAACCCAGGCTGCAGTGTTAGGAGAGTCAAGTAATGCATAAATATACACTGCAAGAAACTTTTGTAAATTAACGTGTTATGTTTATAAGTAACATTCTATAAAGTGCATTGTGTGCTATTATGACCATTTCACAGCTACCAGTCAATTTTGCATCGGTATTTTAAAAGTCAAGCCCCAACGGTAGTTTCCAGAATTACAAGCCTGCTTCTACTTGCATGAAGTCTTCAAAACAGTGGGGGAAAGCACCCCCCAAAATTGCTAATATGAATAATAATATGTCTAATAAGTGTTGGAAATGTAAAAAGCATGAAGGCTCTTTGTATCATATGTGGTGGACTTGTGATAAGGCAGCGGCATTTTGGACGGAGGTCCATGCTGAAATGCAAAAAAATTTAAAAGGTACATTTAAAAAAGAACCAGAAATTTTGCTGTTGGGTCTTAAGATGGAGGAGGTTAATGTAGAGAAAAAGACACTGTTATGGTATTTGATAACAACTGCAAGAATGACATTTGCGCAATTTTGGAAACAAGATAAGGTACCAGAAATATGGGATTGGATAAAAAAAATGCTCTTTATGGCTGAAATGGACAAATTGACAAAGAAACTTAACGGCAAGGAAGATGAAGAATTCTATGAAGAGTGGAAAGACTTTAAAGAATATGTAGAAGTGAAATGGAATGTTAAAAATACTTTAAAAAGTTTTGATAGTTATTAGAATGGATCAAAAAAAAGGGTATTGAAATGATGAATTTAAGTAATGTTACCTGAAAGATTAGTTTGTAATATGATAAAATATAGAATTAAAGATTAAGATGAAAATTTAAGGGGGATAACGCACTGTGGGAAGCCATGTACGGGGGTGGGGAGATATTCGAAAATGGATATAAAAAGATTGAAATGTTGTGAAAAATTTAATTTGCTTTTTATATCTGTATAATAAAAATGTTTAAAAAAAAAAGGGGGGGAAAGCTTTCATTTATAGTTGTGTTGATGCTTATTGCCGGTCCTACAAAAGACGCATTGTGCAGCTACGATTCCCGGACGGGGCGCGCTCCTGTCATTCTGAAGGGCTTGACTTTTAAAATACTGATGCCAAATGGACTGGTAGTTGTGAAATTGTATGAACTGAATGTTATTGTTATACTGAAGGTACTGAATATATGTGCCTGACAAGCAGGGCTCTTTTTGTAGAAAAAGCCCAGCATGAACTCATTAGCATAATAGGCCACACTCAACAGCAGGAACTCATTAGCATATTAGGCCATACCCCTGACAGCACAGCTCATTAGCACATTAGGCCGCACCCCCATGTTACCAGAAGTGTGGTCATCCAG